ATACAGTCAACTGAGGGAACAACGCAGGGGGACCCTGTCGCCATGGCAATGTGTGCACTAGGCCTACCCGTACTCAACATACAATAAATTGAAACATCTAAGGTCAAGCAAGTGGCATCAGAAAGTGGTGGGACTTGGTAACATCACGTGCTCCACAAATAAAAGTACCACCCAAATGTTAGCAAGTCCTTCCTCATTGTGAAGCCAGACTACCATGACCTGGCCATAGAGGTGTTCAACGGAAGTGAGGTCAAAATAACAAAGGACGGCTAAAGACATCTAGGTGCGGTAATCGGCACGAACGATTTCAAGGCCGAGTATGCAACGGGAATGGTAAATGAGTGGGTGGAGGAAATCTAAGCTCTGTCTGATATTGCTACAATGGAGCCACGTGTGGCATTTACGGCATTTACTTATGGAGTTAACCATCGCTGGAATTACCTCCGCCCTCTGGATGAAGCCATCAGCGTCATTTTTATTCCGACATTAGTGAAACACTTTCACTTAATCCCAACAAAAAGGTTACTCTTTGCACTACCACCGAGACTAGAAAGAATGGGATTGACTAATCCAGGGAGCTTGCTGCCACCGAACATCAGAACTCAATCAAGCTCATGGCAGTCCTCACTGGGCACACAATAGCTCAGAATCCAAAAAGTCAGGTAGATACCAACGAAATAAACAGATTCGACGGTCCATTACGACAGATCGACAGCACGCCCAAAGTGATAACTGCAGCAACTGATGATGTAATGGCCAGAGAACTTGAAAAGAAAAGTACAATAAGCGCTGGAGGTGGGCGCCTCTAACTGGCGAACAACGTTACCGATAAGGGAAAGGTTTCCACTTTAATAAACAGGAAGTTACAGATGTCATTGCTCAAAGGTATGATTGACCAATAGAAGGTTTGCCCTCCCAAAGCGTGGGTGGCTCATCCTACGGCACTGAACCGCCATGGTGTGCAAGAAAGAGGGCTTCATATGCATGAGGTATGACGAAGTAAGGGATCTCACAGCAAATTTACTGAAGGAAATCTGCCATGATGTCACGGTGGAACCGACCCTCCTTCCATTGGACGGTGAGAACCTCCGTCACAGGACTTCCAATACATCCAATGAAGCCCATTTGGCTGTCAGTGCTCGAGGATTCTCGATGCAGGGACAGTATGCTTTCTTTAACCTAAGGATTTTTCATGGCCGCCTCTCACCGTAACTTGTCTCTTGAGGTTGCACACAAGAGGAACGAGAATAACAAGATTAGGGCATATGCACAGAGAATTCAGAATGTGGATCACGGCAGCTTCATTCCTTTGGTGTTCACAACCTCTGGCGGGATGGGACCAAGTGCAAGACGCTTCTACACAAGACTAGCGTAGGTGTTATCTGAGCAAACAACAGCCCAGAAGCCACGTTGCAGCGTGGTTAAAATGTCGACTGCCCTTCCCTTTGCTTAAGTCTGGAATCCTTTGCCTTAGGGGAAAGAGATCTTTGGCCCCAACCAACAACAGTTGCAGATATTGACTATGAGGTAAGTCACTTAACACAGCTGGGGTAGCTAGTATTGTTTTAGGACATTTAATTTTTAGGCAATAAAGTGGCGGCGAAGGTGTGGCTATTGGGGAAGGCTGGAGGTCATGAAAAAAATCATCATCATCATCATCATCATCATCATCATCAGCAGCAGCAGCACAGCGAAAATGTGGAAGGAAATATGCCACGACGTCACAACGGAACCGACCCTCCTTCTATTGGATGGTGAGAATCTCCATCACATAACACCCTGGTTGAGATGTCGCCTGTCCTTCTCTCTACTTAGGTCTGCATTACTTTGCCTCAGGGGAACAAGATAATTGGCCTAAAGCCAACAACAGTTGCAAACACTGACTATGAGGCAACACTCACTGAATACCACATAGACCTGCGGCTTAACTAACTCAGCTAGGGTAGCCATTTTTTTAGGACATCCCAACCAGGCTGCAACTTAGCTTCTGGGCTGCTCCTGCTTCTGGTCAGATAACACCTCGGCCAGTGTTTCGTGGAGTGAAACTGTCTTTATCCACATTCTGAATTCTCTCTATTTACGCCCTGTTCTTGTCTTTCTCATTCCTCCTCTCACGCCCATACTCCCATGCCCACACACCCACGCCCACACTCACACGCCTACACTCTTGATGCTCACACTCCCGCCCCACTCCCGCCCATTCTCCGCCCACACTCCCACGCCCACGTTCCCACCCACACTTCCGCCCACCTCCCACCACATTTCTACGCCCACACTCCCGCCCACACTCTCACGCCCTCCTCTAAGCCCACTCCCACCCACACTCCCACGCCACAGTCCCATACATGCTCCCGCCCACACACTTCCATGCCACCTCCCCGCCCCACACTCCCCGCCCACAGCCACACCCACACTCCCATACTTCCACACCCACAAGCCACCTCCCGCCCACACTCCCACCTCCCATCCCCACACTCCCACTTCCCACCTACGCCACACTCCCACGCCTACCTAAGCTCATACTCCCACGCCCCACCTCCCGCCCTCCCCTCCCATCCCCTCCCACGCCCTACTCCCACCCACACTCCCGCCCACCTCCCTACGCCCACACTCCCTCCACTCTCCTGCCCCTCCCCACACTCCCACTTCCCACTCCCACATTCCCTTCCCACCCCCCCTCCCACGTTCCCACCCCACACTCCCACGCTCCCCACCCCCCCCCCTCTAGCTCACACTCCCACGCCTCCTCCCACCCTCCCACGTCCACTTTGAAGCTCACACTCCCACGTCCACAGTTTGGCTCGCTCCCCCACCTCCCACGCTCTCACTGCTACCCACACTTCCCTCCCACACTCTCACGTCCACACTCTGGAGCTCACACTCCGCCCCACCTCCTACGCCTGCACTCCCACTAACACGTCCACCTCCCGCCTAATACCAAGCAGACACTCCCTACGCCCACACTCCGACGCCCACACTCTCACGCCCTCACTCTAAAGCCAACACTCCCACACACTCCCCGCCCACCTCCCAAACACATGCTCCCACGCCCACTTCCCGCCACTCCCACGCCCACCTCACGCCCACTCCCACGCCCACCTCCCGCCCTTCCCACACCCACAAGCCACACTCCCCGCCAACTCCCATGCCCACTCCCACCCACACTTCCACCTGCCTCCCACGTCCACCTCCCGCCCTACTCCACGCCCACTCCCACCCCCTACGCCCACCTCCACTCACACTCTCCTGCCCCACCTCCCCACACTCCCATGCCCTCCTACGTTCCTCTCACCAACACTTCCACACGCCCCACTCCCAAGCCAACACACCACGCCCACACTCCCACGCCCACGCTCCTCCGCCTGCAATCCACCACGCTCCTCCACCTGCAATCCCACCCCACGCTCCCACGTCAACACTCTCACACTCTAAGCCCCACCTCCCCAAGCCCACACTCACCACCTCCCCATACCCATCCTCCCGCCCTCCATACCCACACTGACACGCCCACTGCCCACCCACCTCCCACCCCACTCAGCTCACTCTCCCACCCCCCCTCCCATGCCCACACTCCCACTCACACATTCCCGCCCCACTCCCACGCCCACACTGCCACACCCACACTCCATACCCATGCTCCTACGCCTACCTCCCATACCCAGCACGCCCACACCCACCCACGCCTACACTCAAGCTCATATCACGCCCACACTCCCACTCGCCCACGTTTACAACCCCGCCCACACTTCACAGCCCCACACGCCCTCCCATACCCACACTGACACGCCCACACTGCCACACCCACGCCTACACTCTGAAGCTCATACTCCCATTCCCACACTCCACACCCACACTCCCACACTTCCACGTCCACACTCCCACGCCCACACACCCACACCCACACTCCCACACCCACACTCTCACACTTCCACGCCCACACTCCCACACCCACATCCTTGACCACCGAAGGGTCAAGACGTACCTGGCGCTCCTCTCGGAGCAGCCAGGTCAACTGTTAAGTTGGCCCATACCAACCCCCTCCCCTGAACCCTCCTCCCCACCGGAATATCAACAAGTTCTCGCCAGAAGTTCCAATTTCATTTAGGAAAGGAACGGAACCAGTGTTAAACAGAGGTGAACAGTGGTGAACAATGCTTAAGTCAGTGAGAACAACTCAACAGTAACAGTCGTACCCAAGTTAACCATCACACAGTGAGGTCCCAGGTACCCAGTGATAACGGCCCGTGAGACCCAACAACAACCAGCGATGTGTTAATCCGTCTACGATAGGAAGGCCTAAAACCAAACCTCACTCATATAACACCATCTGTGAGGGAATTACTACACCACATGTCCCTCATAACACCATATGTGAGGGAATTACTACACCACGTCAAGTCCCTCATCACACCATCTGTGAGGAAATTACTACACCACGTGATGCCCCTCATAACACCATCTGTGAGGGAGTTACTACACCACGTGAGGTCCCTCATAACACCATCTGTGAGGTAATTACTACACCACGTGAGGTCTCTCATCACACCATCTGTGAGGTAATTACTACACCACGTGAGGTCCCTCATAACACCATCTGTGAGGGAATTACTACACCACGTGAGGCCCCTCGTAACACCATCTGCGAGGGAATTACTACACCTCGCCAGGTCCCTCCTAACACCATCTGAGGGAACTACTACACCACGTGAGTTCCTCTTAACACCATCTGGGAGGGAGTTACTACACTACGAGTTTGCTGTTCAACACCTACATTAATCTCTATGTTCACTGTATGTTCCTTTACCTTTCTCTAATGAAGGCTTTTGTTAAACCACCAATGTATGTAATAAGTCATTTATGTCCAATGTATATTTTCAGCCTTCGGGCTGCAGAATTTTTTCAATAAACGTTAATTATTATTATTATTATTATACCCACACTCCTACACTCCCACACCCACGCCTACACTCTGAAGCTCATACTCCAACGCCCACACTCCCATGCCCACACTGACACGCCCACACTGCCACACCCACACTCCTACGCCCACAATCCCACGCCTACCCACCCACGTCCACACTCCCACGCCCACACTTCCACGCCAACACTCCCACACTCCCACGCAGACTCTCCAATGCCCACACTCACATGCCCACATTATCACGCCCACACTCCCACACTCACATTCTCACGCCCACACTCCCACGCCCACAATTCTATGCCCACACTCCCACGCCCACTCGCCCAAGTCCAAACTTCCGCAGGCGCACACGTGTGTTGAAGGGTGCTGGCGGGACTATCCCACAGAGGCACCGCCGCTGCTAATTTGTATGTAAACAAAAACTTGGTGTGTAAACACTAACATAGGGGAGCTGTGTGTGTGTGTGTGTGTGTGTGGGTGTGGGTGTGTGTGTGTGTGGGTGGCATGGATGGGAAGAGAGATAAACGACAACGGATGTGTCGGATCAGATAATCAAATATCCGCTTTACTCTAAATAACAGGTGGTACAGGAGGGACTCAGGCAGGGAGGAGGAGTAGGTCTTGTCCCACACTACCACCCACCAACCTGCCCGGCTATCCACCCTCCTCTCCCTCGGCCCATTTGGAAAGCTTCTCTCTCTTCCCCTGATCTTACAAATAGTTTTGATATTGAAACAGTTTATTTAGCCAGAAAAACACAGATACAGAGTGGATAATAACAACAATATTAACATGGCTGAGCCAGTTGAGAACCCGAGCTCTCTTTTAGGCACCTGATATATACTATACATTTATCTCAAGGAAGTATTATGTAACATTTAGTGACATCTGGAATAGTACAATAGTACACGTATCATGGTGGTATTAAATACATATGAGAATGTTACCACCACTATCACTTCGTTATTATTTAATTTTTTTTTTTTACGTTTATATTATTAGTAGCTATATACATATTTTACAGTGGAATTGATATACATAAATATGATAAGGGAGGGAAGCAGTACAACATGTGTTGTATTAAGGTGGAACAAGAGGACAGAGCTATCAGTATCATGTCTTGTCGGCAAATATAATTATTACAATGGTAATTTCTACCTATGTCCATGACAATTTATGATAGAATGGTTTTGGTGGTACAATAAAAGTTGGAATATAAAGTAGGTATTACAAAAATATTAATACTTAGACAATAGGGGTTTTTTTTTAAGAGATGATTTAAAGGAAAGGAGCGTTATAATGTAATCGTAATTTCTAACTTCAGTAACACCTTCATCACCTGATACAATACAATCGTTCTTGTGTTAATTGTTAGTATATCTTTGCTCATCAGTATAATGTATGGTAGGCCTAGAGAGGTGTGTGGGGGTGAGGAAGAGTAACACAATAGTAGGCCTAAAAGGGTTTACAGTGTTGGCTACTCCTTATCGTTGACGTGGATAAATACATCGATATTATATTCCCATATCAGCATCCTTAAATATATTCTAATAAAATCTCCGCTCAGCTGTATACTCACAGAAGAGATAAATGGATAAATGAAGAGGATGATTTACTGTGCTAGTGGTAACGAGAAATTTATAACACGGGTAAATGTCCTCAGAGGTGGAAACAGCCTTTCAGAAGCCCAACTTGTGTGGCCTGCCAGATGACGCATACAATCTACTCTGCTGATTACCGTGAGTGAAGGAGAGAGAGAGAGAGAGAGAGAGAGAGTAACATCGTCACTCGGTTTCAAAAGTTGTAAATGATAATATATCGAATGAAAAGAGTAACGCATTTATGACTACATACTTGACAAACACAATATTTCACTACGGCTGAGACTAGTGGGCCTTTGCTACAGTTTAACAGTTGAGTACGATGACCTAACCCTTGCATACGATGAGCTGACCCTTTGAGTACAATTCCTGAAGCCCTTGAGTACGATGACTTCGCCTCTTGAATACGATAATCTGACCCCGAGTACGATGATTTAAACTCTTGAGTACGATGACTTGAAACTTGAGTGCGCTGATCTAATGCTAATCCCTTGAGTGCGATGACTTAATCCCCTCAAGGGGTTAAGTCATCGTGTTTAAGGGATTATATATATATATATATATATATATATATATATATATATATATATATATATATATATATATATATATATATATATATATATATATATATGTATGTGTGTGTGTGTGTGTATAAAGCATAATAAAGTATAAAGAGATGTCCTATAGCCAAAACTCACACACCCTAAAACGACTCTTTGTGCTCCTGTGTACTGTACAACACAGTCACTGGGAGCTCCAGGACTGGAAGCTGGGCATCGGAAAGCGAGCTCTGTGTCCGTCCGTGTTAGGACAAAAAGTAGCGTGGCCATGAGTCTCCTAATGTGGAGGCCACGTGCCAAGCGGAAGTGCCTGACCACCCGTGGCACATCCGGTCACTAGTGCGGGAAATTGGAGACGTTGGCGACACTTGGCGTCAGCTGTGACCATTTTGGCGCGAGAATGTGTTCTGCTGTTTATAACAACACATCATTGATGTCCTGCTTCGTGTACTGTGTACCTCCTCTGTTCCTTACATACAAACACAAGTTGTCCGTGTTTAATCTTCAGTATCAAGAACAAAGTAATTCATTGTAGATAAATTAAATAACAAAATATAATTATAATTAGCCAATCAAAGAGCCAAGTTTAGAACCCTGAGAATGATCATCTCTGAGAATTGCGAGGCAGTAAATCTTCAGTTAATCCGAGTTAAATCCTTACAAGGATTCCTGGCATCTACTGTATAGGTTCCGATCCCTCGTTCAGAGCAGTGTTAATTTCCGGGTAGAGGACGTGTGGTGTTTGGTTCTCGAGACAAAGGCGTCTTGCCCGTCACAACGAGGTAAATAAAACCCAAGATGAAAGTTTTCGCCGTATTGATAAGAGAAATGAGGATCCGTGTTAACGATCTTCTTTCTAGATGTATAACTCTACTTGTGTTTAGAATGAAGAGCTATAGATGATAGAGGTGATAACGTTGTTGTCCCCTTTATCTATTATTGACAACTGTCGGTGGCAACTGAACCTGTGTTGTTTTGATATTAGTTTCTGTCTTTATTGTCGATATAAACTCCTAGTTGACATTCACACATTAATGAATTTCTCCAAATACTGTTTCACTTCTTTTCAAAGCAATAGTTGAAGGCGTTTTAAAGTAACTAAACTGGAATGAAATGACAATTAATAGTAACATGTACTTAATACGTCTATAATTACTGACATCATATTATTTTCATTAAAACCAACAGCAACAAATAATTAATCAAAAGCTGAAAGAATCAAGTATTGGAAATGAAATCGATCTATAAGTACACTAAATACGTTCATTTATTCCCAACTGAAGAAAGAAGAAGAGAGAAACTAGTGGACAATGCATTCTTAATGGAAATCGATTGATGTTAATGTTATAATGTATTACAGAACTCCAACAAGTAATGTCTTTCAGTTCGTATCTTAGGTTAGCCAATACTCTAGTCATCAACAATGAAAAATTAAGAGAGAGATATTACTGGGGAAAAAAAAGATCCACTAAAGTTAAAAGAAACATCAACATGGACGGGGGAGTATCTCTGAAACCTGAATTCTGTATTAAACAAAATGACTCTTTAAGTTGCTACGATTGTTGACTTCATAATGTTAAAAATAATGCAAATTACTACAAAATATTACAGAAACCATCTATACTATTGATATAAACACGGAAAAAATTAATGCTAGTTGGGAGAAGAGCAATCAAGCGAGATCTTAAAGTAAGAGACACTAACTTCAAGAACAAAGGAACTGTCAAAGAAAACATTCGTCTGTAAGAACACATAAACAGTGGATCAGGACGACCCTTGACTGGATCTAACACCAAGAATTCAATGGAAAAAACGTCTGCAGGTGTTCACTGAGGAGATAAGACTCAAGACAGAGGATATACAGAAGAAGAATATTAGAGGCTTCACCCAGCACCTAATTTATACAGGCTGATGATGATGGTACAGCAACCCCTCAAAACTCGGCAGAGAAGCGTATACCAGAAACCCTTCACAAGATATCATCATAAGATCTGATTTTACAGAAGAAAGCCGTCAGGAAAATACACGATAGGAATTTATGACATGAATTCGTCAATAGAAAGCACTGCAGGAGTTTATCGTAGGAACACATCTGAGGAAAATCATTGCTGGAGTCACTCGTTCTAATTCATCAAATGAATTTATATCTGAAACCAATCATATAAATTAATCAAAGGAACTCATCCCAAACACGAATTGCAGAAATTCGTCAAAGAAACTAGTCTGTCTTGGGAACAAGCGCTAATCAAAGGAACTCATTGTAGGAACTCGTCTTAGGGACTCGTCTCAACAGATCGTCTTGAGGATTCATCGGTAGGAACTCGAGAGAAGGTTGATCTAGAAAGTTCTTCTTAAAGCAGCTTGACACTGTGTTCCCAGTGCCAGGGTCAACTAGTGTCACTGGAGTTGTTGTGAGTCTCGGTCAGAATTCAGAGATCAGAGATCAGGTCATGTGAGGTCCCACTGTGAGTCAGGTCATGTGGGGTCAGAGGTCGGTGAGAAGGAGGGGACAATTATTAGGGGTCACACAGGAAGTTCTTTGTTGACAAATGAAAGGCGGGGCTTGTAGGGCATCTCTGGCCCAAGTGATGAAGTCCTGAGAGTGACCTTTTTATACTGCTCTGGGTGATGACAAAGGTTCTAACAAAGCTACAGTGAAAAGCAAGATACTGTATACTAATGAATAATCTTTGGAGAATTTTCCACAAAGAGGTTACAACTTTCCTGAGGGAACAATTGTGCTGTCGTTGGCCGGCTCGTCCGCCCAGTGTAAGCCACCTTGACTTTATCATCTCAGGTTATGTCGAAAATTAATTTGTTGTTCCACTTGTGTCAGCAATCTTGGGAACCGGAAGGAGACAATACGTGAAGGTGTTAGTAAATAACACAACGAAACGGTACAACATGTGATGACTGCAGAGCCATAAAAGCTCATTTTGAAATTACATAGCTTGAAAAACAAAAAATATTTAACATATCTTGATATTCAAAGTACAGGGTGTTTATAAAAGGTCTGAACGATTAATTCTGTAATATTTTCCATACTAATTAAGATATAAAGCTCAAATTATGTGTAAGCAATAAATCATCAATTAAAATTTTTCATTCATGTTTAATACACTTCAACATGTGGGCCCATCGTGACCAATCCAGCGATACCAGTAAAATTAGTTGTCAATCAATTAGTCAGTAATGAAACAAATGGATTAATGATAAAGTTTGATAGTTTCTGCACCGTTTACA